TAATACAGGCGCCACTTCCGTCGTCAATCATGATTCTTTTAACATCTGTATCAGCGATACGTATAGTGATAACTAAAGCATCGTAATGAGGGAAAGACAAACCGTCGGCATCAGACTTATCGAAGGTGATATTATCTTCGAAGTCGTCATACCGTTCATGGGCGATGGTCCGCTTTAGTTTGTGCGTGGTGGCGAACTTGACGTGATTGATCGCTAAGTCGTCGCCGCCTCCGACGATCATGTTTATCGTGCGTGCTGGGGAGGGCGACTTCGGCGGCCCGTGGGGTTGTTCCCGTCCGCGTCCCAAGTTGATTTTCCCTTTGTCGCTGAGTAATTCCCTCAGGTATCCCTGGTTCAGCATCCTGACCACCTCGTGTCGTAGGCCTATGCAGTTTTCGGTTTTGTGTCCCCGTTCCTGATGGAACTCACATAGGACGTTGACTTCCTCGTGGTAGGGTCTGATTTCATCTTCTGCGGCCGCTGCACTTTGGTGCCCAGCTTCTCCAGTGCGTACACTATTTCTGAAGGAGACACACAAAAGTTATGGGTGGATAATAAAGGAGGCGTACCTCTTTCATTTCGAAGTGGGGCGACGTGTCGCTGTAGCGCGTCTGTATGCCTTGGTGGTGGATGGGAGGATCTGGTGTATGGCTGTGTCGGTCTTTGTTGGAGCGTGGGAGTTGTTCTCGCCGTCCTTCATTGTGTCGATCCCTCCTTGTTTTTGAGTGTATCGTTGTTAGCCTTTGGGTCGGCCCATTAAGATCATCCTCGTCCGCTCGTACCTCAGCGCAATAGGCGTTGTGGATTTCCTCCCATGTGGTAGGGGGATATTTCATGAGGCGGCTTAGTAGCTTCTTGGTTGCCCTCGAACCATCCCTGTTTAGCCCGTTCTGGAAAGCGGCGACTGCCATACCTTCCGATACGTTTGGTAGACTCATCCTTACCCTATTAAACCTGGCTAGGAAGTCCCTGAGTCCTTCCCCTGCGGTTTGCCTGACGGCGAAGATGTCGTTGACCCTTGCTTCCGATTTCTTTGCACCTGCATGAGCGGTGACGAACTTATCCGCCATTTCCTCGAACGTTGATATCGCCTTAGCTGGTAGGTGAGAGTACCACGTTAGGGCCCCTCCTGTCAATGTCTCACCAAACTTCTTCAGCAGCACCGATGGTACCTGTTCTTTTGATAGGTCGTTGCCCTTTACAGCAGTGACATAGTGGATCAAATGATCCTCGGGATCTGTGGTTCCGTCATATACCCTCAAGTAGGGTGGCATCTTGAAGGTTTTTGGGATAGGGTGAGGGGCAGCTTCTTCAGTGTATGGTTGTTCAACGAACCTCCCCACGTCGCGTTTTGGTAGCAACTTGGGAGCACCGGGGATCTTGTCTACCCTCTCCTGATGTTCTTTCATTTGGTCGCGGAGTGCCTTGTTTTCATTCTCCATTTCTTCCATCTTCTTTAGGATGGCTGTTAGCGTGCCGTCGTTGGTCTGTGCCTCGATGGGTTTGTTATTTGCTCGAGCAGCTTCAGGTTCACCCACGGCAGCAGTGGTACCTACCGTTGGTATACACCTGACATTACTTTGCGGTGACTTCTCAACCAAGCCACTCAGAGAGCTTGTTATTCTTCCAGTAGCTTCTTGACCACCGGGGTGTTTCCTTAGCCGCAGATGTGGAAGCTCCTTTTTCATGCAAAATCGTCAGATCTTCGGATGGGGAAGATGAGATCTTTGCACCTGGCGTGATGCTAGGGGTTGCAATCAAAAAGCCCTCGTCACCGGCCTCGTTGAGAGGATCAAGGAGATTGGCTGTAACACCCACTATCGCTTTCATTCTGGTGTTATTTTCAGCCATCTTTTGTTTTCGTGCGGTGTAGAGAATTGTAGTTGGTTGCTCTCTAGGTGGATACTATGATTTTGATTCTCGAAATCCCCACAGACGGCGCCAAATTATTTGGCTCAAAAGTTATCGATGTACTTTGCGAGCTTAAAAATAATCAAAAGTAGGAAAGGGTAAATCGTAATCAAATATAATAGACCTAGAGATGAAAAATGAAGTTGTTGTTGTAGATCTAATAGTGTAAAATGATAATATGAACTCAAGAGAAAGTATTCGTTAGAGATAGAGATAGAGAGAGAGTAAGAGAAAATGAGAGAGTTGTATTATTTCAGAATGCCCCTTTTACAATGTGAAGGTCTCCCTTATATAGTAGGAGACCTCCCTCGAAATAATCAAAAAGATACAAAAATAGGTAACCTTTTCCTAGTGAAGACACTGAGCCTTAAACGATGTCGCTTTTGTTCCCACGCCCAAGTCGTACCCTTGCGTTAGTTGACGTATACTCATTGGGCGTACCCATTGGCGTAGAGACGTTGACGGTCAAATTCGACCCTATACAAAACCCACTTCTATTCAGCAAAATTTAACAGTACACACAATTATTAATATCTTATAAGTTCTCTTGTTGGAATAATTGATTATTTTGGAGTATATTATTTGTTTATGATGAATATTCTAATAAATTATAATTGTTTATTTAAAAAATTTTGAAAGCTAAATATATAATATAGAATACTATTATTAACGAAATATATTGTATATTATAAAATATTTTAATATAAAAGAGTTTCATATGAATCAATTCGTAATAAAAAGNAGAATACTATTATTAACGAAATATATTGTATATTATAAAATATTTTAATATAAAAGAGTTTCATATGAATCAATTCGTATAAAAAGTTTCCAAAAACACTTCGACCACCTCTATTAATATCCCAAACCCGTGCTTCATCTTCCTTTAATATTTTTATATATCTTCTTCATTTATATTGTTTATTATTTTCGGATAATTAAGTATAAGATTAATATAAGTAATATTTTAATGATTTTAAAGTTCTAAATATTAGGATTTTCAATATAGTTCAAATAAAGAAAGACTGAATATGCAAATATTAATTAATTTCAAACTCCTAATTATTATAGCATTAATTAAATTATTATTACTAAATATTAGGAAAATAATTGAATAACTATTTTTTCTCAGTGTGAACTCTAGTTTTAAAGAGTAAAAAAAACGAATATTATTTCGCTAAGTTATGTGATCTGTGTGTGTACTCTATATCAATGAATATATATTTTAATAATTTATATAAATATTATTAAATTATGTGTCTGACTTATAAAATAAAACTACAGAAAAATATAAGAATCCTAAAAATAACGAATGTTGAGCCCATTTAACTAACTCAATAATAAAAGAAATCCTGGCCACATAAATTCTCAGACCTTACTATGACTTATGTGGGAATATCTTATAAAAATAATTGTTATATTTACGACCTAATACAAAAAAAATAAATAAAGTACTTCTTCAAGATTTTTCAAACAAAACAAATTTAAATTTTGAATCTTTTGAACGAATGGGAATGAAAAGGTTGGCCTTATAGCTCACACTGATAAGCCATAACATAAAATCTAAAAATGACTAATATCTTAATATTTTACAATAAATAATTAGATAATTAAATATATAAATGATATATGAATTTATCATTTGTTTGAATAACTGAAAAAAGAATAATGCCATTTCATTTGGAATAGCGTTTTGCCTAAAATTGAATATGCATATTAAATATTAGATAAAACATCATAAACGAATTATATATTTTGCGATAAAAAATTTATGCCTAGAGACTCTTTTTTACTTGTCTTCATGACAAGTAGAGCCAACGTTTTGCCTTAAAATATTTCCAATTTTAGTACGACTAATTATACTTATGTTATATACTTCAATTAGGAAAAGAACTGTAAGGTAAATTATAAATGATTTTAAAGTCCTAAAAATTAGGACCCATAAATATTTCAACAAAGAAAATATTTGATAATCAAAGTTTTAATTGATTTTAAAGTCCTAAATATTATGAAAATAATTGTAATTACAATTCTGTCCAATGTGAAATCCTTTTTTAAAGGGTAAAAAAGGAGAACAACATTCGCTAAGGGCTTTCATGCTTTTAATATAGTATAGATATAGATAGATAGATATAGATAGATAAGAAAATAACTTTCGACTTTTCCAAACTTAGTAGGTATGTTTCAATTTTTCCATGGAGCTTCTATAAGTTTAAAAAAGATGATGCGTAAAAGAGGAGAAATGGGAAAACATCACTATGTTTGGGGTAGGTTTAAAATAGTTCCTTGAATATAATCCTCAACAGTTTGGGTCCTTTAAATTTTGGCAAAAGAGCACTTTTGATCTATTTGTCAACTATTTAACAAACTCCGATTGTTAGACTATATGAGAATTGTGAAAAAAGAAAGATTTAAATGAGAGCTTGAACCGCACAATTAAATCTCCATGACTTTTTTGAACTTCAGCTCTGTGTGTTGGAGTTTCACTTGTAAAAGCCTCGAACTCTAGCACATCATGCTGGAGGTTTTTCGTGTTTTATCTAGAGATATTTTTGTCTCAATTTTATTTCTACAAATTACATTTCTAATGGTGGCTAAATATTAACAAGCGACCCAAAAATTGGCCATCCGACGCTATTTACCCGGACCTCCCTTTTGTTTATTTATGGTAGAAATAACTCCAGGTAGCCATTTAGAGAGCTGCTATTTAGAAATTAACCAGTGTGTCCTGAATTTCAATTTTTTAATTTAATTTTTCAAGATATAAAGTCTTGAAGTTAAGATTTTAGTTCAAATTTTTAAGACAATTAAGTAAGCACTGGCTAAACCCTAAATAACAGTCCTAAAAATGGCTATTTGTGTATCCGAACAAGATTAGATCGCCCCATGAATCCTCTAGCTTCTTCACTAAGGGGCTAGAAATTAAACTTAGGACTCAATTTGGTTTCTCAAAATGTGTTCAAAAAAATTCATATTCTTTTGCAATAATTTAAGAATTTCTTTCAGTAAGTTCATAAATTGTATTGCCAAAAAAAAAAAATCATTTTTGGAATTACGCAATTTCAACAAGTGCACTCATTCTTTGTTAGGTTGGTCACTGATATCCCAGCAACTACAGGAGTAAAGTAAACTTTGGTAAGTCTTTGTCCTTCATTCTAATTGTCACACCTCCTTTTCCGCTACTACACCCCCGGGAGGGTATAATAAAGGGAGTTATTTCCAACTTAAAGTGACAATCGGAGCGGGATTTATTATTAATATTCAAAGTCGCCACTTGGGAGATTAATGGTGTCCCAAGTCACCGGTTAAATCCCGATCCGAGGAAATTATGACTCTGTTAACAGTCCGCGAACCAGAACTCCGAGTAAGGAATTCTGTTAACCCAGGAGAAGGTGTTAGGCACTCCTGGATTCCGTGGTTCTAGCACGGTCGCTCAACTGTTGTATTTGATTTTATCTGATTTCAAAACATGTCCAAACTCATGTGCTTTTATTAGTAAACCGCTTTTATTATTTTTTATTTTTAATAAGAATTGCAACGTCGTGAAAATGCATCTCGAACCACGTCGCACCAGTGCACCCGTGATTGTTAACACATTTCGACTTTGTTGAGATTTGGATTTGGGTCACATAAATGTGCACCAACTTTTAGGAAGGTAATATTATTAAAATTCGCGCCTAAAGCAACTACGAGTTTATTATATTTGGGGAAAACCATGAAATTCGCTAAATGGTCCGCCCGAGTTCTAAGCATTTTATATAGCATCTATTGAGGGCGCCGCAATTTATATGTTTTGATTTGGCGAGGCTCGTCTCATTTATTTTAAGGCCAACCTAAAAGCAACTACAATTCTCTACTTAATTTCGTCTCTAAAATAAAAGGAAAAAAAAAGGTCCTAATTAATTTGTCATTGACTTAGATATGCCTTTGGGCTCAAAGACAAGCCCAGGACATGTGAATTAAATTTCAGTCCATAAACAAAATCCAGTCAAACGTGGACCCTGGCCCAACGGAAGCTGCTTCAATTTAAACAGACTACTAAGCCTTGCCAATTTATAATTCAGAATCAAGGATATGCTGTCCAAATGTCCAGGGCCCAACGCTTTGGGGCCTACTATTAGAAAAGTTGGCCCAGGTGTGATTAGGCACATTCAAGTGTAGCTGATAAACACGGCTCCCAGATTGAGCCTAGGCAGAGACAGAGAATTGTGCCTGGATGCAAATCCAAACGTCCCAGCCCCATCAACCAATTAGGCAATTACTTAGGCTTTGCTTGAGATTCGATGGTAGTAACAATCTAATTGCTATTTCAGCTAAAATAAACCAGTCTCATGTTCCCCTGATTAAAACAGAATTGAAGTTAACACTGAAACATGGGTTAATTTTTAAACACTACTAACAAAGGAAGCTACCTCACATTATCCTATGCTATACTAACAACACATTGAATCAATTTAACATCACTAACTGACTGAGCCAACTTAACAGTCTATAAAATTCATATACGAGTTCAGATAGCAGGAATCATACTGAGTCAAACAGTCCAAGTTTTAACGTATCACGTGCACTGAAATTATACCATTACATAGTTCTAAACTAATCACATCCATAAACATTCACAATGAGCACAGCCTTGAATCATCACTTCATTTCATTTCAATGGAAGAGTACATCACTTGTGAGGTCAAATGCGTGTACTTAAACTGGATTTCCTAAGCTAAACAACAACAGCAGAAAGTATATGTGCAAATAGGCAAAGCTTCATCATTCAACTTCAAATTGTGTTCATGCATGTTAATACAAGCTTCCACATCACTTGAGCCTAAGAATATACCTGGAAATTAGAACAAAAGTGAAGAAGAGGGAAGTCAGCTAAAGCAGTAACGAACAGCAGCCCAAATTCAAAGCAGCTAGATCACTTTCAAATCCAAAAATACCACAGCAAACCCAGGAATGACTAGCAGCAGATTAAACACCAAAAGCAGATGAAACCGGATATGATTGGACCAAAATACACTCGAAATCAACCAGAAGTCCCTGAACTTGAACCAAACAAGATCTAGAAGATACTCAAACCATTTTTAACCCTCCGTTGAACTGAAACTTGATCTACAAATGAAATCCAAACTTAATCTAAGAGAGTTCCAATAGAGCAGTATTTTTATGGATTTTTCTACTGTTTTTGTTTTTGGTTTTTGAATTTTTTGAATTTCAGACTTCAGATCTGTAAAAACTTGTAGAATACTTTTGGGGGGGGGGGGATTTTTGGCCTCCAAAACTTGTGAATCAAGGCAAATGAATGCCTATTTATAGGTGAACAACATACTAGAAGCTTCTATCACCTACCCTTCCCCAAGTAAGACCTAAATTACCATCACATGTAACCTCCCTTAGTCTGAATTTATTTCTCTTGTTTATTCCCCAAACTACCCCATCTTCCTAACTAAAATTACCTGCCTTAAGCAGACCAATCTATCAGGCAGACTGAACGTTTAACAGACCAACGAACTAATATAATCACCTAGAACTAAATGAAGCCTAAAAAATCTAAAACCATTACAAACCTACACATTTAATCGATCAATATTCAATCTACCCGAATTAAAACAGGGTTTAATACTAAGTCAGAAAATCTAAAGAACATCTTTTGAATTAAAGCTACTCAATCAAAACAACAATCAGACTAGATCCTAAACTTGACTAAGTAAGATGAAAGGGGATTATATCAATCCAATTAACCGATTGAACCAGATAGACACAAAACAAATACGATTAGGCTCTAATTAACACAATAATTACAAAGAACTGTTAAGAAACCTAGGGAAACTTACTGAGAAAAAGAAACTCCGGCTAGTCGGGTTATTCCCAAATTCGGCCATGCTTAGGGTCATTTGAGCTTTAATCGACGATCCATTCCTTACGAGGGAGGTCCAGGGGCCCTTTGACATCAGTTGCATGTACTTTGGCCATTTTAGGGTTTTGGCCGGAAAACTTGAAATAGATATTCGAGCCGTTCCGGTCGTATTCGAGCCAAGTGGCTATGGGGGTTGGGTAGAGGAGGAAGAAAGGATATTGGGTTGTTAATTTGGGAGGCGTTGGAGTGACCGGCGTTCGCCGGCGGCGGCTAGGGTTTGGGTTGTTTGAGCAAAGCTAGTGGGATTTGAGAGGAATGAATCACGGATTCGTGTTGAGAGGATTGAGACGGTGTGAGGGTGTGTTTTTGGGAGCCATTGGCCTAAGTAACGTTCACCGGCGGCACGGTTCCGGCGAAGCTCAGAGGAGATACGAGGAAGAGAGAGACGGTCTTTTTGATTTAATTAATATTCCGACCGTTAATAACTAACCAAGGAAGGGTGTGGACCGTTGGATCAAAAGAAGTGAAGGGCTGAGATTGAGTGACGCCAAAACGGCGTCGTTTGGTGGGGGTGAGGGTGGACCGGGTAAATGGTGAGTTTTGGGCCTGGACCACAGTAATTTGGGCGGATTCGTTTGGGCCGAGCAAATTTGGCCCAACTTTCATTTGTTTCCAAAATCTTTTCCTTTTGTCTTTTCTTCCTTTCTTTTTTTTTTTTAATTTCTTTTCATTTTAAAATTAAACATAAATCTAAATTAATTCTTACAACAGAATTAGCGAACTAAAAAAAACTAATTAAATCCCAAACTAACAATTAACACAATTAGTTAAAACAAATTAACACAAAACTGCTCAAAAATAAAACTAAAATTAAAAGTGCAAATTACACCGTATTTTGTGATTTTCTATTTGTGAAATACTTAATTTCTAATCAATCCTAAAAAATGTGAAATTAAAACCCTAAATGCAAGATACTTTTGTATTTTTATGAATTATGACGACTAAAATGCACAGATAAAAATGCAAACAATCAACAAAGATCCACAAAATCCATAAAATTGCAAATAATGAAAAGAAGTTATTTTGTTTTGAATTTATGGGAGTAATTCATATAGGGAAAAAATCACGTGCTCACAGNAAAATTACTTTAAAACTATTTTGTGCCCATCTTTCAATTAAACAATAACATGCAAAAGTGAACTATTTTTGTGATTTTCATGTTTCGTTCTAAAACAAATTAATACCTAAAAATGTGAAATTAAACTCCTAAATGCAAATGCATATTTTTTGTATTTTTAATATGAATTATCATGCACAAATAAAATGCAAACAATTACTACAACATATCACAAAATTCCACCAAATTGCAAAATAATGAAAGAAATCATTTTATTTGAATTTCTGGGAGTAATTCACATAGGGCAAAAATCACGTGCTCACACTAATCACAATTTTTATTAATCTTATATTTCATCATTCTTTTTGATACGATGGAAGTAATACCTCTAGGGTTATAAGTAGACAAAGACAACGTAAAATTGAGAGTTAAAAGTAGCCATAAGTTATGTTGCGCAGATTCTCCAAAAAAGTTGTCACATTCGTATTGGATCATTAAAAATACATTACTTTTGGAGGATCCGACACGCAGTGGTGAAGCCAGGAATTTCGCTAAGGGTGTTCAAGAATTAATATATATATATAAAAAGTAATTTTTGATTTATACATAGTGTATAATTTTTATATGCACAGTATAATTTTTCGACGATGGTATTCATCTGACCACCCTCATTGTATGTGGCACCGCCACTGCCGACACGCATCAGACGATGTTTTTAGAAAGTCCGAGCAACATATAGGCCATATCATTAGACATGATTTTTAATTTATGTTTTGTTTATTGGGTTAATTTCTAGGCAATGAAGTGGTATCCTATGAGAGCCCAAGGCCTACAATAGGAATACATCGGTTTGTTTTCGTGCTATTTCTGCAATTACGTCAAGAGAATAATGTCTATGCTCCTCAAAGTCGTCAGAATTTCAACACAAGAGATTTTGCAGAGCTTTATAATCTTGGCTTACCTGTTGCTGCTGTTTACTTTAATGGCCAAAGGGAAAATGGTACTGGTGGCCGTCGACTATAATATGCATCCGTTTAATATGTATAAATAATTTATCTAAGCAAATTATCTTTTCTAGAATTAGGAACTCATGAACTCAAAATTCTAGCTCTGCCTTCTGGCAATATGTTGTTATTACACTGTATTTGTAAAATAAATTATGGAAATATAAATGAATATAAACAGTAATGAATATAAATAGAAATGACATAAACCAATTCGAGCCCACTGAATTCACAGTGTTTCCTTAAGGAATTTAATCCCCTCCTAGTACCCAAGGTTATGGATTATTTCCTCCCAGGATAGAACGAATTACACACTGGTGTAGTGGTACTCAAACCCCAGTGTTTCAGCGAACACAAAGTTCGGTAGCAAATCACACTTACTTTTTGCTTTGTTTTGATGCTAAAAGTATGCAGAAGAAGGAGAGGAAACTCAGAAAATTGTAGTTAAAATTCTGAGCAGAATAGTGTTGTATTTATAGCCAAAGTTGGGTCTCTTCAGAATGGCTGTTTATGCAAAACGCCCACAGCATAAATGCCATTACATAAATGGCCATTTACTCAATAATAAAGAGGGAAAATAAAGAGGGAAAATTGAAGAGGGTAGTTACTTTTCTGTTACCAAAACAGAAAAACGGATTGGATTTAATATTAATATTTTGTTATTAAAACAAATATTTAATAACATTTCTGTTAATATTTTACTATTAACAAATAAATTTGGTCCAAAAAGTTAATCAATCAATCGATCATTTGACCAAATCCAAATCCAAATCCAAATCCAAATCCGAATCCGAATCCGAATCCGAAGCCGAAGCCGAAGCCGAAGCCGAAGCCGAAGCCGTAGCCGTAGCCGTAGCCGAAGCCGAAGCCGAGCCGAGCGAGCGACGACGACGACGGCGCGAGGCTTGCCTTCTTCTCAACTCTTTAAGAGCTAGAAGAAGAGCAATTGCTTATATACCCATAAAAAACCTCTTCCTCTTCCAATATGGGACAATGCCCATTTGCCAAGGGAGGGGGAACTTAAAATTTCACTCAAAAATTTCATTTCCCTCCATTTCTCATTCACCCTCTTTTAAGTATTTAATATATTAATTAAATACCTTAAAAACCCAACAATCCCCCACATGAATGGGGAATGGCTATATCACGGAAGTATGCATGAAAAACTGTGTGATTCACAAGTAAGGATTAATTGCATCTGGATAAGTAGGTTTCCCTTTGAACTTTCCGTAGTGAACTTATGTCGGATATACTCGATCAATCGGTAGATTTGATATCTTTGAACCGTCGAACTTTAGTGTATACCTAGACAACCACAAGTCACACAACCAACCCTTAACCGTCTTTGGTTCTCATTGTTGTGTTCGTTTCAGCCATGAACACCGCCTGGTTTCATAAGTGCGTAAAGAACTGGCCTTGCTGTGTTCTCCTTGAAGCGGCTAACACTTCACACTTACATAGGTGATTCCTAAACGTGTCATCCCGTAGATACACTATTTGATATACCCTGTATCAAATTTAGAAATCATTAAAAAGCCTTAATGCTTTATCCTTGGTACTGAACATTGTCTCATCACGAGAATGGACCAAAAGTTTAGTTGACAATGTTGAACCGTCATAAATGACTTTGTTTGATCTCCTTGAACCTAGATCTTGGGATCTCCAGTCTTCTAGGTGGAGTTACCGCCACTATGACTTGTTCTCGGCCATAGTCCCATCCCCCTTGATGATTTCTCAACTACCTCTCTAGTTAGGCCTTTTGTAAGTGGATCCGACACATTATCACTTGACTTTACATAGTCAATCGTGATAATTTCTCTAGAGAGTAATTGTCTAACGGTTTTATGTCTTCGTCATATATGATGAGATTTACCGTTATACATAACGCTCCCAGCCCTTCCAATTGCCGCTTGACTATCGCAATGTATGCATATTGGTGCCAACGGTTTGGGCCAAAATGGAATATCTTCCAAGAAATTCCGGAGCCATTTATCTTCTTCACCGGCTTTATCTAAGGCTATGAATTCAGCCTCTATTGTAGAGCGGGCAATACAAGTTTGTTTGGACGATTTCCAAGATACCGCTCCTCCACCAATAGTGAATACATATCCACTTATGGACTTGGAATCAGTTGATCCGGTGATCCAATTTGCATCACAATATCCCTCAATGACCGCAGGATATTTACTATAGTGCAAAGCAAAGTCCTGGGTATGTACTAAATACTCCAAAACTCGTTTCATGGCCATCCATTGAGATTGACCTGGATTGCTCGTAAACTCAATTTACTTATAGCACAAGCTATATCTGGTCGTGTACAATTCATGATGTACATTAAGCAACCCAACACACGAGCATAATCCAATTGTGATATGCTTTGGCCTTTGTTATTTGCTAATGCAAGATTCACGTCAATTGGAGTCTTTGCAACTTTAAAGCCCAAGTGCTTGAATTTTTCAAGTACTGTCTTAATATAATGAGATTGTGACAATGCCAGAACTTGAGAAGTCTTATGGATCGTAATTCCCAGAATTAAATCAGCAACTCCCAAGTCTTTCATATCAAACTTGCCAGTTAGCATGCGCTTAGTCGCATTTATGTTGGCAATGTCATTACTCATTATCAGCATATCATCCACATATAAGCATTCAATGACTATGTGATTTGGAACATTTTTAATGTACACACATTATCACATTCATTTATTTTAAAACTATTTGACAACATTGTTTGGTCAAACTTCGCATACCATTGTTTGGGTGCTTGTTTTAGTCCGTAAAGGGACTTAACAAGTCTACATACCTTCTTTTCTTTACCTGGAACCACAAACCCTTCAGGTTGTTCCATGTTAATTTCTTCCTCCAACTCTCCATTTAAGAAGGCCGTCTTAACATCCATTTGATGAATTTCAAGACCATAAACTGCAGCTAACGCTACTAACGTTCGTATGGATGTAATTCTTGTAACTGGAGAGTATGTATCAAAATAGTCAAGACCTTCTCGTTGTCTATACCCTTTGACCACAAGTCTTGCCTTATACTTGTCAATAGTGCCATCATCTTTATTTTCCTCTTAAAGATCCATTTAGAACCCAACGGTTTATTTCCAGGAGGAAGATCAACCAATTCCCATGTATGGTTGTTTAGTATGGATTCTATTTCACTATTGACCGCCTCTTTCCATAACAATGATTCCGAAGAAGACATAGCTTCTTTAAATGTTTGAGGCTCATTTTCCAATAAGAAAGTCACAAAATCTGGTCCAAATGAAGTAGACGTTCTTTGACGTTTACTACGTCTTGGATCCTCTTGGTTAAGTGTACTTTCTTTTGTTTCTTCCCGAGGTCGTTTAGATCCTTCACCAATCGACTCACATTCCTTTTTATACGGATATATATTTTCAAAGAACTCAGCATTATCTGATTCTATAACCGTATTATTATGAATGTCGGGATTTTCTGATTTATGAACCAGAAATCGATATGCTTTACTATTAGTTGCATATCCTATGAAAACACAATCAACGGTTTTCGGTCCTATTTTTACCCTTTTGGGTTTAGGAACTTGCACTTTTGCCAAACACCCCCACACTTTAAAATAATTCAAGTTGGGCTTCCTTCCTTTCCATTTTTCATATGGAATGGATTGTGTTTTGCTATGGGGTACTCGATTTAGTATTCGGCTAGCCGTAAGAATGGCTTCCCCCCACAAGTTCTGTGGCAAACCAGAACTTATCAATAATGCGTTCATCATCTCCTTTAATGAACGATTCTTTCTTTCTGCAATCCCATTGGATTGGGGCGTGTAAGGGGCCGTTGTTTGATGAATAATTCCATATTCTAAACATATTTGTTCAAAAGGAGATTCATATTCACCACCCCTATCACTTCTTATCATTTTGATTTTCTTATTAAGTTGCGTTTCAACTTCATTTTTGTATTGCTTGAATGCGTCTATTGCTTCATCTTTACTATTAAGTAAGTAAACATAGCAATATCGAGTACTATCGTCAATAAAAGTTATGAAATACTTTTTTCCACCGCGAGATGGTATTGACTTCATGTCACAAATATCTGTGTGAATTAAGTCTAAAGGATTTGAATTCCTTTCAACCGACTTATAAGGATGTTTAACATACTTAGATTCCACACATACTTGACATTTTGATTTGTCACATTCAAACTTGGGCAATACTTCCAAATTAATCATTTTCCGTAAGGTTTTATAATTGACATGACCCAAACGTACATGCCATAATTCATTTGACTCAAGTAAGTAAGACGAAGCTGAAATTTTATTATTATTTTCAACAACCATTACATTCAGCTTGAAAAGGCCCTCAGTGAGGTAACCTTTTCCTACAAACATCTCATTCTTACTTATTACAACCTTATCGGAAACAAAAACACATTTAAACCCATTCTTAACAAGAAGTCCAGTAGAGACTAAATTCTTCCTAATCTCGGGAACATGAAGGACGTTGTTCAAAGTCACCACTTTGCCGGAAGTCATTCTGAGAAATATTTTCCCATATCCTTCAATCTTCGCCTTTGAAGCATTTCCCATAGAAATCGTCTCATCGGGTCCAACGGGAGCATAAGAAGCAAAAGCTTCTCTAACAGCACAAACATGGCGAGTGGCTCCAGAATCAATCCACCACTCTTTAGGATTGCCCACCAAGTTGCATTCGGAAAGCATGGCACATAAATCATCAACATCATCATGCTTTTCAACCATGTTTGCTTGACCCCTTTTCTTGTCTTTCTTCGGAGCACGACACTCCGTAGATTTGTGTTCAGTTTTCCCACAGTTGTAGCAGTTTCCACTGAACCGCTTCTTGCTTGGGTTGTATTTCGGTCCAGAAGCCTTCTTTCTCTTTTTGTTCTCTTCAACAATATTTGCTCCCATTATTGTTGAATTTCCACGGCCTCTCTTTTCCGCAGCTTTGTTGTCCTCTTCGATTCTCAACCGAACAATGAGATCTTCAAGGGACATCTCCTTGCGTTTGTGTTTCAAGTAG